CGACAGTGATTCCGAGGGTCACGAGGACGAGGACGAGCCGGCGGGCCCCGCTAGCACCACTCCTGCGGCGGATGAGCGTGATGAGTGGAGCGACCGAGAGGACGTCCGTAGATGAAGTGGCGGAGATGACCTTTTCATTCAGGTTGATTTGGAGGAGTCTGGGGGTCGTCATGGGAGCCCTTTAAGGCGTCCGAGGCCTACGTCCACCATTTCGCTTCCCGCTAAGCGGGAGACAGATCTTGGGTCTGCACCTTCGAGGGGGACAGAGTTGGGGATTGGCCATCGTCCTCTGGGTCACTCTGGCACGACATCATCCACAGCTCTTCCCACTTCGACGGAGCAGCTTCATCGACAGCCACCCATTGCAGATCGATTGCAGAGATTGGTGAGGGGCCCGAGACAGCGATTGGAGGACAGATTGGAGGGCGGTCCTGCGCCGGTGCACGGTGACGACGGAGACAGACAGGGGTTGGTTGGTGGAGATGGTGGTGCGCTGGCCGGAGGTGGAGGCGGTGCCGAGGCTGATGCGGCAGTTGAGGGGATACCGATGGGCGGCGGAGGCGGTTTCAGTGAGTTTGGTGATATGGGTATGCCCTTGGGAGAGAGTGTGGGTCTGGCCCTAGGAGAGAGCGAGTCCCATGGGGAAATCAGTGTGGGTATGCAGGACTTATTGGGACAGATCATCTTTGCGGACCCGAGTAGTTTCTCCCCTGCCATGCGCGCAGAGGTGATGTTGGGGGCAGAGGGGGATGAGGACCGGACACCCCCTGGAGAGACATCTGCAGAGAGGCTGGAAAGGCTTGATAGTCGTCGAGCGTGCCTCATGGCACAGAGGGACCCCAGGACGCAGGAGCTCGCCCGTCTTGCGGCCGAGGATTGACAGAGGCAGCTGGGGACATTTACGCCGGCATCTGTTGACGCGGGGCCAGCTGCCCACACTGATACTCCGCAGAGGTTCACGACACGATGCAGCGGGAGGCAGCTTCGGCAGAGGTTTCGAGTACGGGAGTGGATGTCCAGCAGGGGACGCACGAGAGCGGGTTGGCACCGACAGAGGAGCCACGTTCGGAGCCGGCGCAACATCCTGCCGTGGAGCGGAGGCCAGAGGAGACATTGAAGGAGGTCGCAGGCGTGCCTCTGCCTGCGGGTTCAGTCGAGCATGCCGTGCATATGTCCCCGGGTCTGGAGGACATACCGACGGGGCAGTCAGTGTGCATTGATGATATTCGCCCATCGGCATAGGCGGACGGGATAGCGCCGACCACCGGGGGGGACGGGGCCGTAGCGGGGACCGTTGGTGCTGGCGGGTCGGGGGTGCCGTCCGCGGCCGATCCGATGTCCACGTCTGGCGGGGGAGACCCCGCACAGGTGGACAGGCGTGACGCGGACGGACAGGAGATGCCACAGACTTTGGTGGTTCGCAATGCTGTGGGGCCAGTGGTGCCACATCAGGCACCGTTTTTGGAGGGTTTTAGGCGTCCTGCACATGGCGGTGGCCCGGTCGAGGAGCGACGTGTAGGCAGGGGCACGTGCATACTTCCGGTCCCTACTTTTGCACCGTCACGGACGAGGCCGGAGATTAGGCATGTGGCTACGCCTCGAGGCAGCCTCCCTTTTGGTTTTATCACCATTGAGGAGTTGGAGGACCACGGCAGGAGGGATTTGACGGAGATCGACCAGCGCGTTTTGAGGTCAGTCCCAGGGGAGGGGAAGCTGCCTCACATGCAGGACTTATCTTGGGGGCCAGCCAGCCCCAGCTTACCTTCTGGGTGTTCCATCGCAGCGCCATCTGGCGGGGCTGCAGGGGGCTTACCTTCTGGAGGTTCCGTTGCAGCGGCATCGGGCGGGGTCGCAGGGGACTTACCTTCTGGAGGTTCGGTCGCAGCGCCATCTGGAGGCGCCGCAGGCCCTTCGTCACCCTTGAGCGCAGCTCCGAGGGAGGGCGGCAGCCTCACCCCGAGGTCAGTTGCCCGTAGACGGAGAGACACTACCCAGCGTGCGCAGGAGTTGCTGGACACCATGTTGTTCGGTCGCACAGATCGACCATGGAGTGAGACGAGACGGGTGACGACGGCGAGTGCCGGTCGTTAGCCAGGTTTGATAGGGGTTTCCACGAGCGCGAGACGTCGAGATGTTGTAGCTGCAGGGTTTGGCGGTAGAGGGGGTGGCGGCGGTGGCAGTGGTGGTGACGGTGACGACAGACATGAGGGTGCAGGTGGTGCCACGACGAACGCAGTGGGTCCGCCGCGGACATACGATTTGAGAGAGGCGTCGATTATTTTGGAGGAGCCTGATGTTGTTACACGACTGAGGCAGAACCGACATGTGCCCTTAGATCGACGCCAGGAGGGGGAGAGTTCAGGGACTGACGGTCTGCCTATGGCACGCGAGGCACGCCGACGTGATGACCTAGCAGCAGCAGCCATCAGGACGGTGAGAGGCAGGAGAGTCATTATGGACGAC